GCTTTCTATTTATTACTTAAAGCGAAGTACTTCTTTGATACAACAGCAAATACTACTAGATTAACTAAGAACGTTTAAACATGATTAAAGAGACAAGAGAACAGCCAGTAAAAATAAGATCAAATACACAAATTACAAGCATAGATAAATACAACAGAATATGTTACAAATAAAATAAGGTTGGTAGTATTCAAATACAGGAATGTAATAATTAGGAAAATAACACTGCATAGTATTCACTGTATAAATTAAATATAGATTTTTATCATAGCTGTTTTGTTGTTTGATGATCATTAATGACAGCAGCAGTATTTATAGGCCGCTGTCCCTTTAAGACCTGATGCACGGATCTGATATAATGATGCACATCACATCCGATTTCTTTCTCAGCTGTTTTTATTCACTTGAGACATAACTGACTGCTTTTACCTGAATGATTGTCGAGATGGGTAGTTTGTCATAATTATGTGTATGTGTCTGTTCAGAGGATTAAGAGGAGGATTCAATTCGGTGTTCACGCATTTGTGTGCTTCATGTGTGTGCAGCTGTGCGCATAGAGAACAGCCTTTCGCTTTTCTCTCTGGGATTGTTTAAAATTCGCTTGCTTGTGTAAATACGAACAAATGATAAACTTATACTCTATTATGGTTAAATTTTGCAATTAATCCGCGGATCACATGCGTGCCGAACCGTGGGGCTTGGTCCGTACGGATCACGGATCAACTACGATCTGTTTAACCACGACTAATCGCACACAGAAAAATGAATGAGATTAAATGTTAATTAAATATTTTCAAAGTCCGTATTAAAAGTAACGAGTGTTAAAAAGAACACAGTATCATATCTCACCCCCCCAAAAAAATAAAATAATTACATTTAGCACCATTAAGATTTTTTTTTCATTTTGCATAAAATTAAGGATATTTTCTCTCCAATCCCCCATCCTCATAATGAGAAGCCAAAATGTGAACCATGTGCAATGTGAACAAAAAATATAATTTTACTTAACAAAAAAACAATAATACATATTATTTGCATCTTTAATGCACCCAGCGTATGCTTAGTTTTATTTCTGCAAAAAATAATAATAATTATTAAAAAAAATTACAAATTTAAATTTTTTTTAAAAATAATTTAAAATTAAATCTTTTTAATAACATTTTTTAATTCAATTAAATTTTTGCATGTGATGTGAAATGTGGCCTGGACATGTCTTGGTGTGATTCACCCTCAGGCTCCTGTTGCTTTAAGTGGGCTGTTACTAAGTTGATATCAACAGTGACGTGACATGTGGCCAAGTATGGTGACCCATACTTGGAATTAGTGCTCTGCATTTAACCCATCCAAAGTGCACACACACAGCAGTGAACACACACCCGGAGCAGTGGGCAGCCATTTATGCTGTGGCGCCCGGGGAGCAGTTGGGGGTTCGGTGCCTTGCTCAAGGGCACCTCAGTCGTGGCATTGAAGGTGGGAGAGCAACCCGCAACCTTTGGGTTACGAGTCTCTAACCATTAGGCCACGACTTCCCCTACAGACCTCCATTCTTCCACCACCTCCGCTAAGGATGCAGAAAGCTTGACATTAATTAATGACACCTTATACCAGTGATCCTAAAATCTGGCCCACGAGATCCACTTTCCTGCAGAGTTTAGCTCTAACCCTAATCAAACACACCTGAGCATGCTAATCAATGTCTTCAGGATCATTAGAAAATCACAGGTAGGTGAGTTTGATCAGGGTTGGAGCTAAACTCTGCAGCGCATTGGCCCTCCAGGGCAAGATTTGAGGAACCCTGCCTTATAGGCTCCAACTGAAGTTCTGTCTCTATTTCTCATTTAGAAGGGGTCTTTAGTGTCAATGAGAAAGAGCAGGGGTGATACGTGCCCTTGAATGTGCTGACTTGTTGCTGGAGGTTCATAGAGAAATCAGTGTTACTTGCATTTGCTGATTCACTCCTCACTGGCTCACAAAGCTCAATGAGTCACAGAGAGCCAAATTCATCTCTCAAATGAGCTTCTAAAAGTAAGGGAGCTTCACTGGCACCCAACCGCTCTGAACTTTAGAGGAGTTTTAAAGTCTACATGAAACAACATTTGCAACCCATTTTACTTCCATAATGTTTGCAACAAGCACAAACAAGAAAATAAAATGGAGGAATAGCACAAATCCAAGGGATCCAAACACTGAAAGGGCAAAAGAAAGTTGGAGAAAAGAAGAACAGAGAAATGCTTGGTGCATGAGAGGTAAAAAGAGGCATGCAGGAAAGAGCACATCATGCTTTCAAGGGATACTTCAGCCAAAAACGAAAATGCTATCATCATTTATTCACTCTCATGTCGTTCTGAACATGAATTACTTTTTCTTGCGTGAAACTCAAATGGAGAAGTTTCAAAATCTCCCCTTTTATGTTCCCCAGAAGAAAGAAAGTAATTTGGGTTTGGAACGACATGAGGGTGAGTAAACGATGACAGAGTTTTCATGTTTGGCTCATGTATCCCTTTAAGAAATATTTTATATAAAACCAGCAGTGAAAATGTGTATAGAAAATAATAAAACAATAAGCCACTGAAGGACAAATGTAATTTCACTACAGTAAAACAGCATTTGTAAGCACAAAACAAATTTGACTCTTGTAAAGTCACTGTAAAAACTTACCATCTAACTTTTACAAACCATCAGCAACAGCAAAATGATAAAAGATACAATTTCTTTTTTATGTACAATAAATAGTGGAAATAAGTGGAAATGACACCAAAACTGTGAGATGGTTGTAATCTTTGAAAAATGTTTATTTCACTTTATATTTATATTATAATCTAAATATTAAAAGTAATAATTCTTATTTTATGACAGATTTTCATTTTTAAACATATATATTTATTGTCAGTCTGACTCTATAAAAATTAATGATGATGATAATTATATGAAGTTTACAAGTCAGTATTAATGTGACTTTAAAATCACAAAAAAAAGTTTAAATCTGTTAATTTTAATAAAAATCAATCTCTGGGACAAAAAAGTACTTGTAGTTGAAGAAAACAAATATATATCACACCTTCTAAAATTCTGGGGTCTTTAAGATGTTTTTAATGTTTCTGAAAAAAGTATTTTATGCTCACCAAGGCTGCAGTGATTTGATCAAAAATACAGTACAAATGGTAATAGTGTAATTTATTCCTGTGATGCAAAGCTGAATTTTCACTATCATAACTATCATAACAGTCTTCAGTGTCACATGATCCTTCAGAAATAATTCTGTTGATTTACTGCTCAATAAACATTTCAAATTATTATCCATTTTGAAAACGGTTGTGTTGCAGTTTTTCAGCCTTCTTTGACGCATTGACAGCATTCTTTTAAATAGAAAACTTTTGTAATATTATAAATGTCTCTACTGTCACTCTTAATCAATTGAATGCATCCTTACTGAATATAATATTTATTTATTTATAATAATTTCTTATTTATTTAGTGAATATACAATTTAAACTCCCAACTGGTTGCAGCAAATTCGGTCTGTCTTCAGTCTCATAAATGTAATTACCGACTAAATATGTTGAAATAAACTTTGGGATTCCATGACTGGTCCTTGTTCTGGGATTTCATAATGCACAAATTAAGCACTGGATACATCTATTTAATTTCCATGAAACGCAGCTGTAATCTGATCTAAGCAGTGAAACATTTACAATTGTAGGTTTCATTTCTACAGTGCTACACGCATGCATGCCGACACGCATAAACATACGACACAGATGGTCCTCTCTGGGATGCTTACATAAATCAATCTAAACCAGCACAACATGGCTGCTCTCAACCTGAATCAACAACAAACCAGACGAGCAAGAAACAGAAACAGACCGAGAGAACGACAGCGAGACGGGAACGTCATTTGAGCAACTTCTTAGTAAATAAAATGGTAATTGGTCTCTCCGGCAGACAGATACCTGTATGCTGCCATTATCACGAAAAGGGAAAATAATGAGACGAAGAGAAAAACAAACAAATCAGCAGAAGCAGCGCTGCAGGGCCGAACGGTAACTGGGTGACTGCCATGCAGCTCCTGGAAGAGGAGGAAGAGAGATGAATTGGAGGATGTTGAACTGTGAACTAAAGCGCTGCAGAGCCCGTCAGCAACGCAGCCTCTATGAGTGGTCTTCATTTGAATGAGAGGTGCCACAGGAATATGTAGGTGTGTTGAAGGGAAGCCAGCGAGAGAGAGCGGTGCCTCCAGCATCTTTCATCCATCCTCTTAATGGACATGTTCTTCTCTCTGTGGACCGAGACTCGCTCTTCATTGTACCAACTACACACACATATTCAAACATACACACACTGCTTTGTCTGCAAGAAGGAGAGTTATACTTCACTAATCTGAGTGCATCAACAATTA